TTTCCTTTTTGCTTTGCATGTTTCTCCTGTCAGTCTTCCTGAGAAGTATCATGATTTTGGGGATGTGTTTGACAAGAAAAAAGCTAGTGTACTACCTGTTCATCGGCCTTATGATTGTCCCATTGATTTACAGGAAGGAGCGTCACCTCCGTGGGGGCCTATCTACGGGTTATCCCCGTCCGAGCTTAAGGCCCTCAAAGAGTACGTGGATGAGAACCTTGCCTCAGGCTACATTCAGCATTCGCAGTCCCCGGCTGAAGCACCTATCTTCTTTGTCAAGAAGAAGGATGGGAGCTTGCGGCTAGTCATCGACTACCAAGGTTTGAACAAGGTGACTATTCGAAACCGTTATCCGCTGCCCCTGATCTCGGACCTGTTGGAACGCCTCGGCGGTGCCCGCTTCTTCACCAAGATCGACCTTCGTGGAGCATACAACCTGATCCGGATCCGGCCTGGTAATGAATGGAAGACTGCGTTCCGAACCCGCTATGGCCACTTCGAGTACACTGTCATGCCATTTGGCTTGACAAATGCTCCAGCAGTTTTCCAACACATGGCGAACGACGTCTTTCGGGAGTTTCTTGATCAGATGGTGATCGTCTACCTCGATGACATCCTCATCTACTCAAAAACTCAGGAGGAGCATGACGAACATGTACGCAAGGTGCTAGCGAAGCTGCGAGAACACGGCCTATACGCGAAGCTTGAGAAATGCTCGTTTGGTCAGCAGTCTGTGGAGTTCCTTGGGTACATTGTCACTCCTGAGGGTATCACGATGGATCCTGCCAAAGTCAAGACTATTCTCGAATGGGAGCCTCCACAATCAATGTCGGACGTTCAGGTTTTCCTTGGCTTCGCCAGCTTCTACCGCAAATTCATTGATCACTACTCTGACATTGTCCTTCCTCTCACGCATCTCACTCGCAAGGATGTTCCCTTCTCTTAGTCTGCTGCTGCCCAGCAGGCCTTCGACACACTCAAGGCGGCCTTCAATTCTGCTCCCGTCTTGATCCATGCTGATTCCTCACAACCTTTCTTCATCGAGGCTGACGCCTCCGACTTTGCCCTTGGTGCTGTGCTGTCTCAACTCGGAGCGGATCACGAACTTCATCTGGTCGCTTTCCATTCTCGAAAATTCCAGCCTGCAGAGATCAATTACGAAATCCACGACAAGGAGCTCCTTGCCATCGTGGATTCCTTTGGAGAGTGGCGCCGTTTCTTGGAGGGGGCGGACCATCAAACAATAGTCTGGACGGATCACAAAAATCTCGAGTACTTTGCCACTTCCCGAGTTTTGAGCCGTCGTCAAGCAAGGTGGGCACAATTCCTGAGTCGGTTTGACTTTGTTATCAAGTACAAACCTGGAAAGCTTCAAGGCCTTCCTGATGCTCTTTCAAGGCGCTCCTATCTCAATCTCAGGCCTGGTAATCCTGCCTTCGATCAACAGGATCAAGTTATCCTCGGTCCTGATCGGCTTCAAGTTATGGCAATTTCCCTGGCCCCTCAGGACTCCTCCTTGATGGATGCAATCAGAAATGATTTCCAATCCGATGACCTCACCAGCGATATTTTCACCCATCTTCAGGCTGGACACCCAGTGACTCCCGACTGCCAGTGATTTGACGAGTTCGAGTTCTTAGATGGCTTATTGTACTGTGGGGAGCAGCTTTACGTTCCTGAAGGTGATGCTCGAAGGTTGGTCCTGATGGCGTGCCACGATAGCCCGACTGCTGGTCATTTCGGCATTGCGAAAACCTATGAGCTAGTTGCACGGGACTTTTGGTGGCCTCACATGGATGACTACATCAAAGCTTTTGTTACCTCCTGTGACACTTGTGCCCAGAATAAGGTACCTCGCCACCTTCCTTCAGGTTTGCTTCGTTCCCTCCCGGTCCCTTCAGGTCCTTAGGAATCCATCTCCATGGATTTCTTGAGTGATCTTCCGAGTTCTAGAGGCTTCAACAGTATTTTAGTCGTGGTGGATCGCTTCACAAAGATGGTGCACTTCTTGCCGTGTACCAAGGAATTTTCGGGTGAGGACATGGCAAAACTGGTATTCAGGGAAATTTTCCGACTTCATGGGATTCCTACAGATGTGGTTTCGGATCGGGGGCCTCAGTTCATCTCTCATTTCTGCCAACGGTTTTCGTAGCTGCTTGGAGTGAAGGCCAACCTCTCTTCGGCATATCATCCTCAAACTGATGGACAGTCCGAGCGAACGATTCAGACATTGGAACAATTCTTGAGGTGCTTCATCAACTATCATCAGGATAACTGGTTCGATATCCTTCCCCTTGCTGAGTTCTCCTATAACAACTCTGTTCACTCCTCTCTTCGAGTTTCCCCCTTCTTTGCGAACTCTGGCCGAAATCCCCGATTCAATCTCTCACTTCCTTCTCCATCTGAATCCTCTCGTTAAAATCCCCACTCTGAGGCATTTATCTCCAACCTCCAGGAAATCCACAACTCCATCTCCTTCCACCTCCATCGTGCTCAGGAATCTCACAAAACATTTGCCAATGTCCATCGTCAGGATTGTCCCCCTTACAATATTGGGGATAAAGTCTGGCTCCTCAGGCGAAATATCTCCACCACCAGGCCCTGTCCAAAACTCGATTTCAAACGCCTCGATCCTTTTCCTATCACTGCCATCATTAATCCCGTCACTTATTGCCTTGCACTTCCCTCCTCATATCAAATTCACCCCGTTTTTCACTCCTCTCTCCTTGAGCCTTATATTCCCAGTCCTATTCCAAATCGGGTCATTCCTCCGCCTCCACCAGTGCAGCTCGAGGATGGGTCTGAGTACGAGGTTCAGGACATCCTTGATTCCAAGATTTCACGGTCTAAACTCTACTATCTGGTGGACTGGAAGGGTTACGGACCTGAGGAACGCACTTGGGAACCTGCGGACAACCTGATTCATTCTCCTGACCTTGTTCAGGACTTCCACCGCCGCTATCCTTCTCGTCCCAGTCCTCATTCTTTTTCTCCATCTCCCATCCCTCGCCGCTCATCTCATCCTCCTCCTCGTTCTCGTTCACATCCTCGTTCCACTCGTTCTTGAGGAGGGGGTGCTGTCAGGAATCCCCCAATTCTTGCCACATTCCTGACTCTCACCGGATTCCTGACTTGCAAACCACATTCCTGACTCTCGAGACACTTCCTTATTCCTAACTCTCGAGACACTTCCCGATTCCTGAGTCTCGAGCCATATTCTTGATGATGATGTGGCACCTCCTCGACCTCAGCTATATTTAGGCCGTCCTCGATCCAAGAGTGGTGGAGCTTCGTCAACCTATAGTATATATAGGTTAACCTTGTTCCATTTCTCCACAATCTGAATCAACGTTAGTCTAAGGCCTCTTCTTTGTTTCCACTAGCTTTTTCTATTTGTCTTTTTGCATTTTCCAGTTTTGATCTTGTCGGGGGTCTTGACATAGACAGGTTATTCTATTGAATTTACTAATCCTTCCATTATATATGCTAGTTATTCCATGTGATTTTGTAATCCCATGGTACATATCTTCATCTATGGAACAAGATGAAAGACATAAATTTTAAGGGTAAAAATATACTTTTCTTAAGGGTATATTTTATTTTAAATAAAAACTAATGGGAATTTGTCATTTACTCACATATAGCACATTTTATCTCTCTCTCCTTAAGTCAACTATAAAAAGGGGCAATTTCTTGATAAGATAGTCTTTAGTGGCTATTTTATCCCTATATATCCCTCAATGAATTCAATAATAATAATGAATTAAATGTGACATGAGACAATTCCCCAATTCTTTAAGTCTTCTTTATATATAAACTAAGTTTTCCATTATACTTTAATCATTTAACCACATCTTTGACCACTTAAAAAGAGTTTTATATGCCTTTATCCCAAATTATCATATTTACTCAAAAGTAGCCTCAAATTTATACTAACCTTACAGCATATGTGATCAATGAGATAAGTTGGAAGATAAACAATGATAAAATTTTTTAGGAGGAGATAACATTGAAAGAGATAATATAACAAATTTCAAATATTATCACCTTCACCAACTCAATCTTATATATAATGAACCCAAAAGAAATTTATTAACTATCCACCACTTTAACATAAATTAGACATTGTGTTAGTTAAAAGAGAATGCCAAGAGAAAATGCAAACTCCCAATTGATAAAATTTGTGAAAATGGAAGTATTGGTTCTATTTAAGTTTTTAACTTCCCTAGGTACAAGAAGACTTGATAATAAAACCTTATAAATCCTAAACTTTAGATACATATTTTGTTTTGGGACCCTAGAGGGAAACATTGTGGCTTAATGACCTTCTACTCCCAATGGAAAAGTTCAAGCCTTTAGGAGAGAGTGAGGACTAATGAGGCACATAATACTCAAATCGGATACTACTTTATACAAATTGAGAGCATTACAATTAACTTCCTTTTTAAGAGTAGGAGTTATTTTTGAGCACTTCCTTGGGTGGCCTTTCTAGCACCACCTAAATTTATTATCACTTCCACCCAAAGCCATTAACCTTTAATCCCAACCTTAATTCAGTTTAGAAACACTACTGGAAAGTTCCTAAAAAACTATATCTTAGACCTCACTGTCATCCCACTATATAGATATATATATATATATATATATAAAAGAGTGAGATGACAATGGTGCACTATAAGAGGAGTTATATGAAGCTAATGAGCATTTTTGGATTGAAAGGGGGACTAGTGGGCATGTTAGTTGTTATCTTGGTCACCCAACCAGTTTTAGAGACTACGTGCCCAGTTTCAGTCCATAAGTGGCCAAGGATTTTAAAGTGGTAATTATATATTGGAGCGCCAATCCAGCTGGAATTGATCTGTCATGGAATTTAGCTCTGGGATCAATTCCTCTCAGCCAGCCTTGCTTGGAGTCTGTCAACGACTTGAAATGTTCCTCAAGGTTTTGTCTTTCTTGCGGATATTATAAATCAATCACTGCCCTAAATATGTTGTGTTCTAGGGCACGATGAAGCTCTGTCTCTACAAATCCGGGGTTCACAAGATTCTGGGGCTCCCGCGCCGATGGGTGCTTCCCAAGCCCTCCATCAGCTTGCCGGCTTTCAAGAAGGCGCTGGAGCTCCGAGACAAGGCGCTGGCAGCCACAACAGCGGCCGCGGCGGTGGCTAGCAGTGCGCATGAGGAATGCAGCGATGAGAGCTCCAGGAAGAGGAAGAGGGTCGACGCCACAGACGAGGAGGAAGCTCCAGCCAAGCAAATTTGCGTTGCCGACGATAAGGAAGCATTTGGAGAACAGGATAGCTCGGATTTGGATCCACAACAGCAGGCTCCTCCAGAGGTCCAACCAAAGGAGGATACTAGTCATGTAGGTTCTTGTTTTACTTTGGATCTTTGCTCTCTCGTATGAAACTTTTTCTTGTTTGTCCAGAACGTAGAGAACGGATCCACGTACGCTGCCGATCCCGTGCTCCAGGAGCGAGCCAAGCGCAAAGAAGAACTCGAGGAGAAACTTAAGACACTAACTTCAGAGAAACACCGTCTTGTTCAGCTCTTAAAACAGGCAAGTGTTCTAAGTCTTCTTACAAAGTTTCTTCTTCAACTTAATTGCAGATCCTTACAAACGAGGAGGAAATGAAAAGGCGAGCACAGACAACTTCATCGCGGCCTTGTGACGCTCCGCTACTCTCACAGACCCCGGCTGCTCGGCCGATGGATCTGGAAGAGGGGGAGCTCGAGTACGCGAGAAGTCCGAGCCCTCGCTTAGCGAGGACGTGATCCAGCACTGCTGCACTGCACGAGTCTTGCTTTGGGGACAGACACGGGCAAACATGAGAAAAAAAAACGCTTTTCTTTTTCATGTTGATCAACAGACCATTCGTCGAATGGAGGATCTTAAGAGCATTTCGAGTGAAAGCGAGTAAGGAGAGTACTTTAGCATGGCTTTTTACAAGAGAGAGAGATGTCTACTTACTCACAAAAAAATGGCAGAACACATGGACACGTCCTGTTGATGTGTGAAGAGATTGGGCATGAGTTCCTCGTTCATCTTCAAAAAATTTATCCGAAGCCCTAGGTTTTCTGGGGAGATGGAGAAGTTGCCAGTGCTTATTCTAAGCAAGCTTGAGGCTGTTGTCCTTCATGACCTCAATGGCCTGCCCTAGTCGTGAGAAAGGATTTCAAGGATTGCGATTGGACTCCCACTTATGTGCCTAGGAAGCAGTGTTGTGATGAACTAAAAACGATAGTAAATGGTGCTTTAGCCAGTAAACACATTGGCTTGCAGAAGCTAATAGTGGATTGCATTGATTGGCCAAAACATGACAAATCTAGAGTTTGATTACGCATCTTTAACTTGGGCTTATCAGCATTTGAAATTTCTGGTTTCTGGGAGATTTTGAATGGGTTTCCAAGACTCTCAAGCGTGACATTGAATGATATGACATCCTTGCTGAGGGTAACCGTTTGAAATCGCCAGTGGTAATCGAGTCTTCCTCACTCACAAAGTTAATTTACGGCCAGCGATATGCATTCGAGACTGATCCCAAGGACAAGTTGCTGGCAACGCCATACCATGAATTGCAGCTCAAGTGCAATGGCTTGCAAGAGCTGGAAAATTATGGAGATTGTGTTGTCATGGAAGGCTCTAGACTCGTGAAGCTATCCAAACTCTTTATCGGGCAAAGGTGGCAGTACAAGAATGTCAAGAAACTACCGTCCTTAGCTTGCGTAAGCAAGAGCTTACTACAATCGGATATAACCTTACTCAGTGGAAGGCGAAAAGTTTATGACCGCATTGTGAAAGTCATGCAAATGTGTTTCTGCTTGTGCAAAAGACGCGCTTGAGGAGTGTTGCCATTCATGGTGATAAGGAGAATGTGACCTTCCCTTGCTAAGAGTTTTTGGTATCATCTTTCAATGGCAATTAAAGCTTGGGACCTAGCTCGCCTTCTACGCCTAAGCACTCCAAGTGTGGATTGCACTGGTTTGAAATAGGCAAGCTGAGTAATAATTCATTCATTTATACAAGTTTACAATACATGCATGTTTTTACTTAGTTTTTCATTTTGGATGCCCACTTATTGATGCACATAACATATATAGTAACTTCCACCACAAAGTCACAACCAAGCCAAGGCAGTAGCGGTGAGGAAAACTTATGGCTTACAGGATGTAGATAATGTCCTTGAGTTCGAGCGGGTGTTGTCTTGGTGCTGTCAGTTTCAAATAAGGGTCCATAAGTGGCCAAGGATTTTCCAAAGTGGTATAAAACTGATCTGCCGTGGAATTTGGCTCTCTAAGCCCTTGAAGGCGAAGCATGCATGTCCATGGTTGTGCATCACAATCCATTTGTGGCATTCATGCCACCATCCTTTGCATGAACGTGTGCATGGATAGGATCCTAACATTGGTATTGGAGCCCAGATCGATTCTTGTTTCCCAATGCCTCTAGATGGGTGCTAACAAACATGAAAAACATGTATCATTATTTGTCTGTGTTCTCGAGCTGCTGGGAGTCGTCAAATGTTCTTTCTTTCACGCTTTTCTTTGTTCTCTGCTCGGCTTTTCTTTCCGGACGAGAAGCCACACAAATGGCACATCGATAAAAAACATTCCATAAAAGATGGCCAACCTTTCGTCTGCCGCGTTTCTCATTTCTTCGCAGGAGTAGCGGTTTGGACTACGCGACGATGAGAGATCGCTGTGCCACTTCTTGTTTCAACTCAGTCGAGAGTAAGGGAGGGACTGCTATGATCTGTTTACGGTCGTGGACCCGACGAAGGCTTCCGGCTCTATGATACATATGATTGTATAAAGTGAAGTACTACCCTAGTGTGAATCTAGGGTACGAGAGTGCGTTCTCAAGATTCTGGGGCTACCGTCGATGGGTGCTTCTTAAGCCCGCTCAGGGCGGGGCGGCTAGCAGTGGGAATGCAGCGGAGCTTGGATTTGGATCCACAACAGGTCCAAGTCATGTAAGTCTTCTATCTTGTTTAAGTTTTGTAGAGAATGAATCCACGAAGTAGTCTCCAAACAAAGAAAAATTCTTACTCTCCTTACAAACGAGGAGAAAATGAAAAGGCGAGCACAGACAACTTCATCGAAGCCCTGTGACGCTCCGCTGCTCTCACAGACCCCGCCGATGGATCTGGAGCTCGAACGCCGAGCCCTCGCTGGAGGACGTGAGGACGTTTTCCAAGAGTTCTTCCCAGCACTAGAATCCCGCCATCGCGAGGTACTCCAAAAATCTCTCTAGAGTTTTTACGTCTTTCTCTGGGGAGCTTTCGTTCCGGGACTCCAATCAAGTAACTTGGTCTCCTTTTTCTTTGAAGCTCCAACAGCGCTTGGCTTCTGATGACTGCACTGCACGAGTCTTGCTTTGCGGACAGATACGGGCCGAAAAAAGAAAACAAAAAAAAAAAGAAGTTATTTTTTCCATTTTTTTTGCGTTTTTTCTACGGTTTTTCAGTTCTAACTTGTTTTCTTGTAGGCATACTACATTCTATCATAGGCTATCATATCGAAATGGATAGGATGGACATTGTTAGAGCATATCCAAATGAATGTAAATGAGATTCGCCCCTCCAGGTCTCATTCGTGCTGGCTGTGCTCTATTCTATTCTTCTGTAGTCTATAGCTATTACATTGTCTCGTTGCAAATAGAACAGCCTGTGCTGCGCTGTTGGAACGTCAGGGGTTCAAATCCAGGCCTGGGCCACACGATTATTAAAAATAAGCAACCCCCGCTAATCTAAATCCACCATTGTCTCTGGGCGCCAGAGAAATAATAGCGCTTTGTTCTTCCATGTAGCGTTTTCCACACTCTCTCTCGGCCCATTCCATATCTCTCTTCCTCTCGCGCTAGGTCGAAAATTTCTCCTTTTTTTATTGTTAGTCTTTGCCGAATCGAGGGACCCTTTTTTTCGACTTGGGCTTTTAAGGATTAAGCGCTGGCTATGGTTGCCAAGGGTCTCAGGGATTTAGCGAATAGCTTCAGTGCTTACTACAGGGGCATGTAAAAACCCATTAACTGGTAAGACTCTACTCTCTCTCTCTCTCTCTCTCTCTCTCTCGCCGGTTTCAATTCTCGTGTATCCAGCTATGGCGGAATCCACCCCTTCCCCACAGAAACGAGGCGAAGTCGATACTTCCAAGCCTTACACCGATGTGAAAGAGGCCATTCATCGGTTTGACCATCTTCCTGGAGTAAAAAACTCGGCAGAGGTATGTTTTTACTCGAGCTTTGTTTTTACAAGAGAGAGGAAAAAAAAAAAAAACTATGGCAGAAGCGTGCGTATGAAAGTCCCATTGGAGCTTTGAAGGAGCAGCTGGTGGAAGCCATGGCGGCCAAGGATAAGATGGAATTGGATAAGCGTGAGGTGGAGCAAGAGCTCGCGAAGCTCAAGGAGAGCTACGAGCAACTTAGCAAGAAGCTGGAGATGGCATTGTCAATCCCAGAATCCATGGGAAGTGAGGAGCGAGAAGATCTCCAGAAGCTCTACGAGAGGACGACGCAAGATCTGGAAGCCTCGCGGGAGAGGATCCAAGATCTGGAAGATCATAAAGTTGGCGAGAGCAGCAAGACAATTGAATCGCTGAGCATGGAGCTGGAAGCGGCCAGGGATCGCGAGAAGAGCTCCATGGCCAAGGCAGGAGATCTAAGCACTGAGGTGGAGAGGCTGAGGTCACAGGTGGGAGAGCTCGCGGAGGAGCTGAGGATCGCGAAGGAGGAGCTGGATCGATTGAGGAGCTCCGAGTTGAGAGCTATGGCGGAGGTGGGGGACGCGGCGGCGGAGATCAGCCGGGTGGAGGCGGCAATCAAAGCGGTGGAGGATGAGAAGATCACACTCCAGGCGACGACGCGCTACCTGGAGACGGAGCTGGAGAGCACCAAGTTGGAGCACGAGTCCCTCCAGAGAGATCGAGGAGAGGGAGAAGAAGAGAATCCGGCTGTGGCGATCGAGAAGATCAAGGCCAAGATCGAGGCGGTGTCGAGCTTGGAATCCAAGGCGATGGCGAGCGCGGCGGGGATGCTGGAGGGCTACGAGCTCGTGTCGGCTGAAGCCATCGAGGCGGAGGTCGTTAGGGCTGGAGTGAGCGAGGAGGTGGCGAGGATGAGGAACGAGGCCTGGGAGCTCAAGCTCGCGACCATGGCGAGCGAGAAGCGTGTGGAAGATCTTACGCAGGAGGCGCTGGCGGCCAAGGAATCCGAGGCCCGCGCCATGAAGTCGATCCGGCAGGACGACGATCGTGCCGAATCGAAGGAATCGATGCTCGAGGAGGAGACGGCTGGGAGATTGCGCGAGGCGAGCGCCGAGGAAGCGAGCGCACGGGCGCGAGAGGAAGAGCTCAAGAGGAGCTTGGAGGCGGCGAGGGCGGAGATCGAGGAGACGCGGGTGGATCTCAAGCAGGCGAACGAGAAGGCCGCCATTGCCGAGGCGGCCAAGTCGGCGGTGGAGGGCGAGCTCCGGCGATGGCGGTCAGAGAACGAGCAGCGCAGGAGGATGGCGATGGTGGCCAATCTCACCGCCGCGACGCCGGTTCCACAGCGCAATGGCGATGCTTCTCCAGCGACGATCTTGGCGTCGAGCGTCTCGATCGCTCATCCGGAGGCCAAGAATGACGGGAATGGGAGGAGATTCTCGTCGAGCTCTCGCGAGATTGCACGGTCGGCAACGATCGAGGAGGGGCGGCGATCGTCCGGGGAATCGCTCGCTCAGGTGCTCCAGATCAAATTGCCCGACGCTAGCGGGGGCAGATCGAAGAATCTGGAGCAAATCGTGGTGGAGAGCGCGGAAATCAAGAAGAAGAAGCTCAGGCTCCTCGCGCGACTGGGGGCCATATTTACCGCGCGAAAGAAGCACACTTGACCTAGAATTCAAACGTTTAAATTCTAATTTGATTTTGTCCATGTCACGTGCCACGCAGGATATTTTTGTCCATGTCAGCCATGTCATAGGTAGGTTCTTTCGGGAATGTCAGGATGTGGATGAGAAGCAAGGAGCGATGGCGTGCGCGTTGCTCCAATACGTTTCTCCCAGCTTCTCTACGGCAAGAAATCGATGCGCCGAGGCGGCGGCGTCGCCAGCGTCGCCAGCGTCGATTCAGGTAAGCACGGATGGAAAGTCGAGCGGCATTCCTCACAGGCAGCTCCATTTGTCGACAGCGAGGAAGCTCGCTAGATCCGAGAGCTTGCAGCAGGACGTGCTCGACCTCCTCGGGCTCCTCCAATCGGGCAGTAATATCCGCGAGCGCCTCGAGCAATGGCGAGGGACTCTCCAGCCCGCGGTGGTGTCTAGGGTATTGCAGCGGCTCAAGGATCCACAGACCGCCATCGTCTTCTTCGTGTGGGCCGGGGATAGGGGATTCAAGCACAGCACATTTACCAGGAACTGCTTCCTCCAGACTCTACTCGAGAATGGCGCCAGCGATCGCATTCCAGCGATGTTTGAGAGGATGCTGGACGCTGGCTATGCCCCGGATTCCTACACGTATCATCTCGTCATCAAGAGCTTGTGCCAGATGAACCAAATTGACAAGGCTTTCACGATGCTAGACAAGGCAAAAGTTCGAGGATTCAAGCCAGAGGTCTCGGTTTACACGATACTCACCAGAGCTTTTTGCAAAACTGGCCGGCTCAAGGACGCTCTAGAGATCTTCCGGAACATACCATCGCCAGACGCCATTGCTTACAACGCTATCATCCATGGGCACTGCAGGAAGAATGACTGCGATGGAGCTCTTGAGTTTCTCAAAGAGATGAACGAGAGGAAGGTGGCACCGGACGTATTCACGTATAACATTCTCATCGACGGGCTTTGCAAAGCGTCCAAGACTGACAAGGCGTCGGAGATGCTCCATGAAATGGTGGACAGAGGAGTCACTCCCGATACGGTGACTTTCAACTCTATCATGGACGGGCTCTGCAAGGCTGGAAAGTTTGAGCGTGCTCACAGCTTGCTGGCTGTGATGGCCGAGAGGAACTGCCGTCCAAGTTGCTGCACTTACAACACACTCATCAGCGGCCTGTGCAAGCAGCAAAACGTTGACAGGGCGAAAACTCTGGTGGATGAGTTCGTAAGCAGCGGATTCGTTCCAGACGTGGTCACTTACTCCATTCTCGCCGATGGGCTGTGCAAGAGGGGAAGGATCGACGAGGCCTTCGAGCTGGTGAAGGAGATGTCTGGAAATGGATGCACTCCAAATCTAGTGACTTACAACACTCTCATAGACGGGCTTTGCAAGGCAAGCAAGACGGAGAAGGCTTATGAGCTACTGGAGACTTTAGTCTCTTCGGGTTTCGTCCCGGACGTAGTGACTTACACAATCATTGTGGATGGGCTTTGCAAGGAAGGCAGGCTGGACAAAGCTCTGAAGATGGTAGAAGGGATGCTAAAGCGGGGTTGCACACCCAGCGTCATCACTTACACAGCTCTCATGGAAGGCTTGTGTAGGACAGGCCGGGTTGACGAGGCTCATCACATTTTCAAAGAGATGGTGAGCAAGGACTGCACTGCAGATGCTCTGGCTTATGTGAGCCTAGTGAATGGCTACTGCAAATCAAGCAGGACGAAAGAAGCTCAGAAAGTCGTGGATGGGATCCGAGGCACGCCGTATATTGATGTGTACAATGCCTTGATGGATGGCTACTGCAAAGAAGGCCGGCTGGACGAGATCCCCAACGTTTTCGAAGATATGGCCTGCCGAGGCTGCGTCCCGAACATAAAGACTTACAACATCGTCATGGACGGGCTCTGCAAGCATGGCAAAGTTGACGAGGCGTTTCCCTTCCTCGAGAGCATGCACTCGGCCGGGTGTGTTCCGGACGTGGTCTCGTACAACATCATCATCGACGGACTGTTCAAGGCGAGCAAGCCAAAAGAAGCTCGTCAAGTCTTGGACCAGATGATCCAGGCGGGCATTCCACCTGACGCTGTCACGTACAACACTCTGATGGCCCAGTTCTGCAAGGAAGAACGCTTTGACGACGCCGTGGGTATCCTGAAAAACATGATCAAGGCAGGGGTGGATCCAGACAACGTGACTTACAACACTCTGATCAGTGGCCTCAGCCAGACGAACCGGCTGGGGGATGCGTACGAGCTGATGCACGAGATGCTGAGAAACGGCTGCGTCGTGAGTGCCTGCACAACTTACAACACTATCATCGACAGGCTTTGCAAGGAGGGTTGTCTCAAGCAAGCGCTGCTTCTCATGGACCACATGACTGGCCACGGGGTGGAAGCCAACACAGTGACTTACAATATCTTTATCGACAGGCTCTGCAAGGAAGGAAGGCTGGACGAGGCCTCGTCGCTGCTGTCAGAGATGGACACGCTCAGAGACGAAGTAAGCTACACGACGGTGATAATCGGCCTGTGCAAGGCCGAGCAGCTGGACAGAGCCAGCAAGCTGGCCAGGGAGATGGTGGCAGTGAAAGGACTGTGCATCACGTCGCACACTTTCAACCTCCTGATCGACGCTTTCACCAAGACCAAGAGGCTGGACGAAGCTTTGACGTTACTGGAGCTAATGGTCCAGCGGGGCTGCTCTCCGAGCGTCATCACGTACAACATGGTGATAACTTGCCTGTGCAAGCTCGACAAAGTGGACAAGGCATGGGAGCTGTTTGACGAGATGGCAGTGCGCGGGATCGTGGCTAGCTCGGTCTCGTACACTGTGCTCATCTATGGCCTGTGCGGCCAAGGCCGCGGGAAAGAAGCGCTCCAGGTGCTCGAGGAGATGGCTTCCAGCGATTGCGAGATCGATGATCTCAAGTGTAGGAAGCTCTACTTGGCTTTGCGAGGACAGGGAAGGGGAGAAGAGGCAGCCGAGCTGTTAAGAAGGATGACTACCAAAATGGACTCTTTGTCACTGGATTGACATCCACATCCAGGGTGAGAAGATTTCATTCTCAATATGTAAGGTTACTAACATTTGCGTTCCTCTTAAGGAAGTTGACAGTTGCAAGATGCGCTTCTTTCTCCTTCCACATCGAGGTAAGAACTTTACAGTGGATTTTTTTCTTTTCCTTTCCCTTGCTAAGGAGAGTAAAGTGATCTAAGCTGGATCAACTCTTGAATAGCTAAAGAAGTGTATTTACAGGGGAAGATGTGGCCCCTCACTCGCAATTTCAAACAACTTTTGGCCCGTGTTAGTCGTCATTCCACTCGAAGTTCTCGTCAACTTGGTGCTCGGTGCCGTACGAAACAAACAAAGCCCACAAGGAATTCGTTAGCGGACTCGCGAGCCTATGCAACAAAGAAATACCAGACCGGTTTCCTTTTGCTTTCAAGGTACGAAGCTCTAGGCAGGCCGTTTCAAAGTCTCTACAGTTTTTAAGAAGTCACTCATGCTTTATGTTTGCTCCACAGGAATTGACTCCAGCCATCCCCAAAGCTTTCAAGGCAAGGTGCGAAAGTACGAATGATCAAGCCAACTTGCAGGGATTGTAAGTTTTCGTTTTAAATTCCATTCTTCCTTTTTATACTTCTGGAGCGTTCAATCCACCACTGCCAGGAAGAAACTCATTTATGTGGCATGATACTTTGGCTTGGCAGATTTCTTCCGCGCCCTCTTGCTAAAGAGACTGGACGATTCAAAGGTGTTTAGAAAACGATTCCCGGGGAATTGTTTGTTTCTCGAGCACTCGCTAGTGCTCGATAGTTCTCATTAGGACATGATTCTCTCTCTCTCTCTCTCAATCTTTTTTTCTCTGGGTTTCTGGTTAACATGAACAGAGCGTATGATTGGCGTCAGCTAGGAAACAGTAGGACTCGTCGCCCATCATTTGGACACTGGAAAGAAAGGTGGCGAGGGAATCTCCGGGAATCTTATAGAATGTTGTCTATAATTTAATAACAATAATAATAATAATAATGTTTTAGTGGGAATATTTTATATTCCCGTGTGGCCTCGGGACGTCTTTTCCACACGAACTGGCCAGGGATTGAAAAATTTCACTCGCACGCTCTCTTGAAGCGCCTCCAAAGACCGAGCCCGTTTTCGAAAGCGTAAGTATCTGAGTGTGATATTTCCATGCTTTACTATATGGAGTTCGCAAGAGCAAATCTCCACGTCAAAATATCACATCCATGCATCACTGTTAGAAAGGGTACATTTGCCCATTCATGGCATTTGCAGTTCCTCGCCCATCCCTGTCGCGGGAACAAATACCCCGGAGGGTATAGCCCGCCACCCTCGCGCATTTAGGTCAATCCCTTTTGGGCAAGTTATACTGTTTACTCGCATCACTTTCCACTTATAGCCGTGAATTCTCCGCCTTTAAATCCGTTTTGGCGGCTGCCTTTATGAGGAACCAAGCTTTGAGTTTCCTTCCAATTTAATGGTTTGCCGCCATACCGTTTGCCATGGTTTGTAGAAGGTAGCTTTGCAATCAATCCCTCCAGTCCAGTCCAGACCATGAAAACTTTGAAAAAATCTCTGATCACAAGTTCCATTCTGTGACAATGCTTGAAATTTAATTCATTGGAATCAATCCCCCTTTCTGTGTTGGAGCAGTGCATCTTCTCTGTGAGAGAGAGTGTGTGTGTGTGTGTGTGTGTGGCGCATTTATATAAAAGGGCTACATAGCCACTCTCTTTTGATCCATCCATTCATCCATCATCCACACCCTGCTGCTAGTTTTTACTACTTCACTGTCTCCAGATAGGCTATGCCCAGAGTTCCTGGCTCTTCAAAGAAAATCAAAAATAAAAAGGACAAGGAAAGAAACCAAAACGCTCAAGAAAAGATCTCCCCCCGGGAACTTGTAGCTACTGGTTCTAGATTTCTGGCAAAGAGAGGAATCAATCAATCCTCTCCCAAAAAGAAAGGCATTGTTTTCTTGTGCAGTGCAGCTATGTCCTTGAGTAGCAGCGGCGGCAGCAGCTGCGCTAGAAAGGGAGGAGTGATTTTAATTCTTTGATTGCTCATCCACCGTCTCTGTTCTTGAGAGCTCTGCTCACTCTTCCTTGTCTCTATCCTGTTTCTTTTCACCCATTCTCTGGCAAATTCTGGGAAAAGCTTATACAAATCACACATCTCTCTCTCGCTCTCGATTTTTTCTGTTTTTCTTTTTTCCTCCCCCAATCGATCGGTACTTTTGATCAGGCCGATTGAATTCCTTGGATTTCCTGGCATGACTCTTCATCTTCTCCTGCTGCTGCTCCATTCCATCTTGATCCTCGTCCTCACCAGCTCCTCCGCGATCGATCCCGCCCAGGAGCTCGATTGGGAGGCGGCGCAGCGGCGGGACAGAGTGGAGAGGCTCCCCGGCCAGCCCAAGACTCCGCCACTCCGCCAGTTCTCGGGCTACATTCCCGTGTCGCGCGATGGAAGGCGCGCCCTCTTCTACTGGCTCACGGAATCCACCGCGCGCTCGCCACATAGCAAGCCTCTCGTCTTGTGGCTCAATGGAGGTGAGCAAAGAAGAGAAAGAACGAAGAATCGATCGAAAAGCTCTTCCTTCTCTTCTTTTCTATCTGATTCTTCTTCTTCTTCTCAATTTCTCCTCTCCAAAGGAAAGCTTTGCCTCCTCTTGTTGCTCAATTCCTTCTTCCTTGTCCATTTTTGGATCTCGATCGATTGGATTGAAAGCTTTGATCGCTGATCGCGCAGGGCCGGGATGCTCGTCGCTGGCCTACGGTGCGGTGGAGGAGATCGGGCCCTTCCGTATAAAGGCCAACGCGACTGGCCTCTACAGCAATCCATACGCATGGAACAAAGGCAAACAAAATGCCGCCACCTCTTTGTTTCTCCTTCCTCTCGCTCGCATTTTTAGGGTTCTTGGGAAAGCTTTCGTGATTGTGGTCCACTTGGGTTTTTTGTTTGGATTGTGGTGGACACTTCGCTGCATCGCTGGGCTTGCTGGGCATTGTTTTGGGTGCTGGATTTTTTGGATTTGTGGATGGTGGTGGTGGGCATTTGCAGCGCGGCAGCTCCTCTTTTTTCTTTTGCTCGCTGCTGCTCTTCATAATTGGATGTGGAGGTGGTAGCTGAAAGCTCAATCTCTGATCTTCTCCTCTTCTCTCTTCTTCTCTTTTTTTTTTTGCGCTTTCCTTTTGGCAGTTTGATTATGAGCTCGCCTCACGCTTGTCTCTCTTTTTTCTCTTTAGTTCCTTTTGGTATTAGCTCTCATTCTCTTTGGTTTTTTTCGCGTTTTTTTTTGTTGTTGTTTGCAGTGGCGAATTTGCTCTTCCTGGAATCTCCTGCCGGTGTTGGCTACTCATATTCCAATACCACCACTGACACAGACGCATTTGGCGACACTCGAACTGGTAACGTTTTTCTATTCTTCTTTATTCTGGAGGATTCTCTCTTTTGTTTTTAGAGAAAAACCGATCGAATGAGTTCGATTCTTTGCTTTCACTGAAACTTTTCTTGTGAGCTTGTTTTTGCTGCCGAACTTTCGTATTATCTGTGACTCGCGCTTGGTTTTTCCTCGTGGGAGGGATTAAACTCAATTGTGTTATTAGTGTCGTCTCGCAGCTGAGGATGCTTATTCTTTCTTGCTCAAGTGGTTCCAGAGGTTCCCGCAGTACAAGAGTCGAGAGTTTTACATTCTCGGGGAGAGCTACGCAGGTTAGTTCCTCGCTTTCTTTTCTTCTACTTCCAAACTTCCAAGTGTTTCTGACCTCTCCAACCTTGCTCTCCAGGGCATTATGTTCCTCAGCTCGCAAAGCTGGTTCACGACGGGAACAAGGCGGCTTCCAAGACCATCATCAACCTCAAAGGCTTCATGGTAACACCAAGTTCTCTAGAGAAAATTCCCTCGATGATTGCCAACTCGTTAACTCGCCCAGGTTGGCAACGCAGTCACGGACTGGTACTACGACAACCTCGGGATTGTGGATTACTACTGGACTCATGCTCTCATCTCCGACGAGACATACACCACCATGAAGAGACACTGCAAGTTTACAAGCGTGGAGTTGTCTAGCGAGTGCCAGAGGATCATGGATTACGCATCGAACCAAGAGATTGGCAACGTCGATCTCCACAGCATCTACACTCCCGTGTGTCTCGAGGCTACCTGGAGCTCCAGCACTGGCAGGAAATCCTCTCGCACCACTCCTCACTGGAATCCGGTATAGTTTAACGCTAGTTTCTTCTTCACGATCTAAAGAATCACTGACGGTTTGTTTGTGCTTTCTTTTTCTCAAAGCTCTGGATGGGACAGACTGGTTTTGATCCGTGCACGCCAAGCTACGCCGAGAAGTATTTTAATCGGCTCGACGTCCAACGAGCACTTCACGCAAATGGCACTCCAAACAACGTTCCTCATCCATGGACACCATGCAAGTAAGCCATTTGATCTTCAAATGTCTTTGGAACTAAGGTTAAAAATCGAACTTTTGTTAACTTCCAGCTATGGAATTCTCGAGAATTGGCACGACAAGGCCTTCTCCGTGCTGCCAATCTACAAAGAACTCATCAAAGCGGGTCTTCGAATATGGGTGTACAGGTAACGTTCCACTCAAAGATTTCTTTCTTCTCGCTCTTCCTTTAGCTTTCTCTCTGTTCTGTCCGCTTTTCCTGTAGCTTTCTCTCTGTTCTATCCGATCCGATCGACACATGTTGTCCTGCTTTTGTCACAGTGGAGACGAGGACGCGATGGTTCCAGTTACTGGAACGCGGTACTGGATTCGCAGCCTAAAGCTACCAATTGTGACTCGGTGGTACCCGTGGTACTACATGGATCAGGTGATAGGAAATAACCGTCTCTCAGCTGAAACTTGTGACTCGAAAGTTCTTTGTTTCTGTTTTTCTTATTTCTTCCTTCTTGTTTTTTTTTTTTTTTTTTTCCAGGTAGCTGGATGGAGCCAGACGTACAAAGGCCTCACATTTGCGACCGTGAGAGGTGCTGGACACGAAGTTCCCGTTTTACAACCGGATAGATCATTGTCTCTTCTCGAGCATTATCTGAGAGGGAAGCCTCTTCCCAAAAGATAGAAAAAAAAAAGGGATAGCGAAGTTTAAGCTAGACACATAGGCACACAGTAAAATGTGAAAAAAGCAATTTTTTCAAACAAATTTTAAGTAATCTATTCCGTTGGATGTGAGCATATGCTAGAGCATATTTTAAAATATTCAGTACCAGTTTAAAACTAAGCTTAAGGGTGAAAGCTGAATAGTTTAAACAGAGTAAAAGAGTTAGGGTTTAAGTTAGGGCTCGTGGCAATGTGGAGACGGGCATTTGGGCAGGCGCATGGATTCCGGGTAAGAGAATGCTGGCGTTTCGCTCCAAAAACGCGATGCTAAATTCTGTTTCGCAGCGTGTGAGGCGCGATTGGATTTCACAACCAGGTACGAATTCTCATGTGTGGTTTTGTCTCCATGAATTTTTTTTTTCTTAGATGGCCAGAGATCCTCAGCTATATCGACTGCGGTATTGATGCGATCCAAGGCAGAGGCAAATGGCAAAGAAAACAAGGAAACGTTGGTATTATCCTATGCTTTCCTTCCAGCAAATTTTTTTCCCTTCTCTTCATAACTCCTGAAACGCCTTGTGCTTACTCGAGTTTTCGTGGCAGGATCGAGGTGACTTTTGTAACCAAAGAAGGCGATCGGAAGACGATTCGAGTTCCAGTTGGGATGTCAATGTTGGAGGCTGCTCATGAGAACGACATCGAGCTTGAAGGTGGAGTGTTCTTAAGAGCCTTTTCTTTGGAAACGATAAACTCTAGCTTGGAACGAGATCACAGGTGCTTGCGAGGGCTCATTGGCGTGCTCGACTTGTCATGTCATTGTGAAGGTATATCGTCTTCCTTTTTTCTTGAGCGATTCGTATGTGGATCACAGGATGAGAAGTTTTATCGGATGCTCAAGGAGCCATCGGACGAGGAGAACGACATGCTTGATCTTGCATTTGGACTTACAGAGACGTAAGCTATTTACTGTTGTGGTTGAACTCTTTCTAAGTGTTTTCTTGTTTCCTGTTTTTGTTTTTTCAGGTCTCGTTTGGGATGCCAAGTGATTGCAAAGCCCGAACTCAACGGCATGGAGTTGGCTCTCCCAGCAGCAACAAGAAACTTCGCTGTGGATGGACATGTACCAAAACCGCATTAAATAAGTAGGATTTTTGTTGTCGTTTTCGTTCTTAAGGTTAAACTATTGACAGAAAATTCGTTCTAGTTCAATATAACAGAAATATTTGCATATCTATATATATAAATATATATGTACTAATCATTATCCAGCATATGCTGCCTCAGTTAGCAAACACCATCATTATTACATTGAAAATTAAATTGAAATAGTATCAAAACAACATATATTACGAATACTTGCCCAACGAATGCTGGGTGGTTTACAAAGAGGTTTCTATTATTGAGGTTTATCATTACAATTTATAATGTTAAAGTCATTATAAATGCTATGGCTTGCTTTATTTTGGAAATCCAACATAGCGCTAATATCCAGAGAAGGAGTACTTGCCCAGCAAATGTTGGGTGATTTACAAAGAGGTTTAATATAAAACTTCTTTATAAACAATGTTAATTGTAAAAACAGAAGGATCTTGAAGAAGGAGGTGGCTTTGGCGTATGGTGTTTTGAACTTTAATTCCAAGTCCATGTGGTGATATGCATCTTGATAAAGCCACATAAAGTTGCCCATGAGTGAAAACTGGGTGGGGCAAGTAAACTCCAACTCAGTCAAATGTCTGTCCTTAGCATTTGGAGATTGTTAAGTAGTAACTTAAACAGATTGGAAATTGTCTTCTAGATATTTAAATGGAATTTCTACATTTGATGGTATTAGTGTGATACGTGGGATAAAAACTCTTATCCCTTTAAATTGCCCCATCACAATTTCACAATCTAAAACATTTGGTAGTGCATTTTTTAAGATGAGACATGTGCTATTGCATAGTCGTGGTGATGGAGACATATTCCTTAGGAGGATAAGAATAGCACCTTATTTGAGAGAGAGTTTATGTGGTCGGAGACCAGAAGGTGTGATAAAATTTAGGAATTCTGTTGGAAAATTTTCAAGATGTTCAGTGTCAATAAAATCAATGCTTTTATAGATATATATGTATCAGCTTGTAATTTAGAGACAATAGTATTGTTGATTGCAAATGTGTCATCGTTAAGTGGGGTAAGTATGACTCAATTGGCTGCAATATAAGGGTTTGAAATATCAAGTACTAAAGGGTAGACAAAATCAATAACAGATGAATAAATTAGTTGTGTATGAGGTAATAAAATGGAGTTAAAAGGTAAAGATGGTAAATTTTGAAAATTTTCACCATTTCCGACTTTAAAAAGCCATTCAGCCTATGATTTATCACTTTCAGCAAGTTGCATATTTGTTTTCAAAGATAATTTTTTAAATAATCTCCATAATTTATTCATTTTTACAGAACTTGAAATAATTTGTGCCCTATGTCCATGTGGAATGACTAGAAGTGTTTGTCTAAAGTCCCCGCTAGTGATAACAATTATGCCACCAAAAGGTAATAATATATTTTTTAGGTCTCACAACACTTGATCAACAGCAGTGAATACATGAATGTGAACCATACTTATTTCATCCCATAACAATATGTTAGTAGTTTTGATTCTTATACCTGCTTCACTATTAGCAGTTGTAGCAAAAGTTGATGTTTCATTTATTGGAATAGGAAATTTAAAAGTTGTGTGTGACGTTTGGCCATTATAGAGAAAAGTAATTGCAATTTGTATCCAAGCTATGCTAACAACATTTATTTTTTTCAGCTGTAAAATATTTATAAGAGTGTTAAGAAGAAATGTTTTACCAGTACCTTAGGGCCATCAATGAAAATGTATCGATTTTGCTCAGTTGGGTGATCAATAACATTAAGAATATCATTAAAAATATTTAATTGTTCTTGATTAAATTGAGGAATATTTTGTTCAACATTTTGATATATTTGTGTTGAGTTGACAATATTTTCATCATCAAAATTTTCAGACGGGAAAAGTAGATGGTAGTTTTGATTAGTTTTGCCATGCATTTTCATTTTTATATTTATATCATGTAAAGCATGTTCATAATGAAAAATTGGATTTGAAATCCTCAAAAAGGAAGTCTTTAAATTTATGTCATAATAAATATTATTAACTGTCTTAAGATCTTTGAAAGATGTAACACCTTTTTTATGGAGTGAAATAAGATGTAAATGATATAGTTCAACATTAGATGGCGACACAGAATACATTCAGGGAATGACATTTCTTGTATGTTGAATTTGCCAATTATGAGTATGAGGGTTAAATATATAATATAAAAGGATTTTAGGATATGTATATTGTCTAGCATTTGGATCATTTATATTTAATTCAAACCATTTTGTTAACATTGTACCATTTTGAGTAGCTCTTTGAAGTGCCATTTGGTGAGAATTTTCTATAAAATAGACGTTTTGAAAATTTGGAAGATGAATAGGAAGACCGATTATGGGGGTTGAACGACCATGCATTTTAAATTTAAAAAGTCTCCATATTGCCTCTGGAGCATATACATAACGTGTATTTAAAAAATTTGAGATTTTATCCTAATTTAAAATATTATCAGGTTGTTGGGTTTCTGAATGGATTTTAATTGTTGCACAATCATAACTTTTATAGACATATTGAAATAAATACTTAATACTTTTTATAGTAGAACAAATTTCAATATTAATATGAGCATTATATTTTTTACAAAGGTATTTATTATAAGGCACTACCCAACAATTATCAATATAGCACCCATTTTTTAGAAATGTGCGGCCATTATCAAGTTTATAATAATCTGGATATCCATCAATACTAAAAGTAGTTTTATAATTAAAGCAAACCTTTTGAGCAAGTGCCATTTTCCATGCAAGGACTATTAGGGTAAAAAGACCCATATAGACCATGTATCATATGAGATATAACTATCTTAGAAATTTCAAGTTCATTTTGAGGATCAAGCAATTGTGCCATTATGTATTGATCAATAGCATCACGGTCTTTAATCTTATTTTCATGAGATAAAATCCCTAGAAAGTAACAATATAGAAGGCTTCTCTTTTGAAATTCAATTACATATATAAAAGCAATACAATTTCCAAAAATATTGTTTTTAGTAATATCATTCATAAATTCTTTAAGCTTGATATGAAATACTCTAGAAACCAAGTCTGGATGATCCTTAGGGCCTTCATTTGGATGTAAATTTTTAGAAATTTCTAGCCATTTGGGATTGTATGTAAAAGTAATGAAAAGATCTAGCTTTGAAAAATGAGTAATTATAGGCATTGCATCTTGATAATTTTGTTGCATTGCTTTAGGGCCACCCCCAAAACTTGAAGGTAAAATAACAATCTTGCCTGGATTTATATTTTCATTAGTAGTACAGTTTGCAATATAATCCATAAGACCAATATACATTTCAACTTGTAATTGTTTCTGATGAGTGCAATAGTAATTCAAATTATTGCTTTCAACTTTTACATATACATCGACTATATATTGTTGTGTGAGTTTTCCTGCATGTAAAAATGGTATGTATAATATTGGAGTAATGTAATTCGACATCCGGAATTAAAAATATTTTTGTGCCAGCCTTTATCACCAAAAGGAAATATTAATGGGTAAACCATTGGATCATAATTATAATCAAGTGTTGAGATACATTTATAATTGCTTACAGTTGGATATATGCAAATTTCACGACAATGTGGCGGTTCTCCATCATCACTAACAAACACAACAGCAACATCATTTGTCCGTGGAGCATTATAGTGCCGTGGATCAGTTCCTTCAGTTTTTAATAACATGTAAACACCACATATAAGATAACCTGAAAGTGTAGTAGAACAAATTTCTTCTTGTTCCATTCCATACATCATTTTGAAAGCTTGAGCATATGGGTTAACATGATGAAAGAGAGCATCAAGATATTTAAGTAAGTTTGTTTCACAGCTTGAATTAAAAGGGTTTTGCTTTCTTATATCTGTAGCTTCTACAATATCAAGCATATAAAGTTGTCCATAAGTTTGAGAATGATGTGCTAATACAATATTATGATATATTTGACCATGGATTTTAAAGCAATAAGGACTATGACCTTTTACAATATCAATATTAGAAGACATAGATGCAAAAGCAAGAGCACTATTGTAATGTCTAATATTTGTTCTAAAATTAGAGTTTTTATGTTGCTTGCAAAGTGAAAGTAAATCAAATGGTAAAGGTGAAATTAGAGGTAATACAACTTGGTTATTCTAGCAACACATTGAAGAGTTTTCATCTTTAAAATGCAATGCATTACATAAAGTACAAACAAATGATAACTACCAATATTAAAATTTATAATGTTAAAGTCATTATAAATGCTATGTAGTGTGGTATTCATGGGTGGGTGTGGTGGATTTAATATTGCTTGATATATGTGACCATCATAATGATGTGCATGTAAGGTTCCAGATGCTTCTGACTGTCCAACTAATTGGTATATATAATCATTATCATAATTAATATTTTGGTGTATAGAATTATTATCATGATTATTTTGAACAGCTATAATATGTGTATCATAATCAATCATAGTTTCAGAGGCATCTAAATCTCCATTAGATTGTTTACTATGTCGCATGGCTCTCAAAAGATGGCGAAGGCAAGGCATTTTCAGTCAGTTTGATTATAGATTTGAATTAATATATTAATTGAGTTTGTATAGAAGTTTATGCAGAATAGGAATGCAGACTACAGTTGGATATATATAAATTTCACAACTATGTAATGATCTGAAAGGAAAATATTAGACTTTTGCTAAGCGCACTCAAGAACAACAAAATAGTTCCAATGTTGTGTTTACCAATCTCTGCCACAACTTTGCAATTTTGAGCTCCAGCCCCAAGTGCTGCTCCTACGCCAGCATTAGGTTACCTGGCACAGCACCCCAAACACCTGAGAAAGCCCATAAGCACGCATCGTTGAAACCGGCCCTCTAAATCTTAGAAACTGGAACTAAATTTTAGATTCGACGGAAGCAGTATCGGACAGAAAAAAACATCTCATCATAGAATACAAAATCTTACCAGCTGCCCGTGGCATCAAAGGCTGAAACGCAAACAAAATAGAGAAGCATAGCCTAGAACAGCTGCTGCCTGCAAGAGAAACCAATCCATCAGTCGCAAAAATGAATCAAAAAGGAAGAATGATCGAAGAACCAAGGATAAGAAGTAAAAAACTCTTGAAAGGAACTTGGAGTGCTGGAGATGGCGCTGCTACTCTAATTACATCGGCCATGGGCCATTGGGAATCGAATTGATGAGTGGCAGACAAATTTTTTGGAGCCCTAGGAGTGCATGGTGTAACACCTGTCACCATGCGCTCTTCTCTTCTCGGCCACACGTGTATCCCACCCATTGGCCACCACAACATTGAGTTGATATTCCCGCTAACCATGGCTTCCGAGGCTGCCCCGTGCCTGGGATCGGACGGCTGTGGGGGTCTAGGTTCTTCGTTCTTATTATTATAGATATTCCAATATATTATATTATATTATATTAGAATTGAAAAAGTAACTATAAGCATTTTTTTTTCATAGAAAATTATTAAATTCCTTAAAGGGAATTATAAGATTTAAGTAAATCTCTGCAAAGGTTGAATGTTAATGCCAATCAATGTTTTACATGTTATATGTGTCACAGTGCTTTCTTCTCTTGCCCCAAGCAATTGGCCACGTCCCATTGGCTAAAAGAAAACATTAGTGTTATTATTTGCAGTTATTCAAGGCCAGGCAAATGAAGAATCTTGTCAGCTGAAATGTTGCTATTGCAGCAATTGCCATGGCTAGGGATCTGGAGGAGGCACGATAATTGTTTAATGGGATGCCTTTCTACAGTCTCGTGTCATGGACAACGATGATCACTGCATATATGGATTGTGGAATGGTTGACAAAATGAAAACTTTGTTTCTTGTGCTGGCACACAAAGACATCATCTACTAGAATGTAATGCTTTTGTGCTATGCCCAAAACTGGCATCTGGAGGAAGCCATTGCCCTCTTCAATGCAAAGGATCTGTTTGATTCTATGCCATTACAAACAGTAGCTGCTTGGAACTCTATGATTCTGGCAAATGCCAAGAATGAAAAGGTGGCCATTATTTTCTTTGAGATGCCTAAGTGGGACTGCTGCCTGTGGAACAGCCTGCTAGACACGATTGCAGAGTCTGGGAGGATCGATGATGCAATTGTGATGTTTTAGAGAATCCCTTTCAGAGACACAGTTTCATGGAACCTGATGATTGCAGCAATGGGTTCTCACAGCCATATCCATGAGGCACAAGCTCTCTTTGCCGTGATGCCACAATGATCAGAGCTTACGTGCAGCAGGGACTAGCTGTGAACGCAAAGATTGTGTTTGATTCCATGGAGTCTCACGACAGGTCGCGTGTGGAACCCACTCTAGAGGCCTACCTCACAAGCAATCAAGTGGGCGATGCTAGAAAAGTGTTTGATTCCATGCCTGATTGAGACGCAGTGTCATGGATGTCAATGATCTCTGCCCATGCTGTGCGGGGCCAGATGCGTGCTCTTTGATTCCATGCCGTGGTGTGTTGTGGCAGTGTGGAACGCAATCATCTCCAGTTACGTGAGGAATGGCAATCTCAATGAGGTGCAGGTCCTCTTTGGTCAGATGCCCCATCACAACACCATGACAATCAATGCCATGGTCACAACACTCATGTTTGGTGGCAAAATCGAGCAAGCCAAGCTCCTCTTTGATTGATTCTCATTGCCCAACTCCGTGATCTCCATGCTCAAGAACTGGAGGCCTACGCCCAGTCTGGGAGTATTGAGGAAGCCAAGGTGCTGTTTGATTGCTTGAGCCCAGATAATTGGGACTCTAGTGCGATCAGAGCGATCATCGATGTGTATGCCCAGATCCTAGATGTCGTGGAGGTGTGGTGGATCTTCTCCCAAATCGCCCATCCCAATGCCACGAGCTACAATGCCATGATTGCAGCATTAGCCTTGAATAGGCCTTGCGCAAGGCAAAAATCCTCCTCTCCAGGGTGAGAGAGAGCAATGTAGTGTGCTGGAACACCATCCTCATGAATTACATCCAATTCAGCTATCTTGGCCTTGCAATTGTGATCTTCTACACCATGCCAAATCCAAATCTAGTCTCTTGGATAGTAGTGATCATTGGTATCACCCACAATCCCGGATTGCATTAATTTGTGTTGGATCTCTTCTGCAAGCTCTAGTAGTGTAGCGCACTCTATCTTTCTCCTTTTAAGCCAACTGGAAAAGGGGTAATTGTTTGATGAGAGAGCCCTTAGTGGCTATTGTATCCCCCAAGGTTTCAAGGATCCACGGCGACAGTATATTTAAATTTTATCCTATGATCACATATATTACACTCACTCCCCTTTCAGAGATGTCAATGTCTTTATTGACTATTGACTAATAACCCCTACTGAGCCAAGGGGAATCAACACCTCCATTTCCGCACTGAATTTATCAATCCTTCTATTGTGTAGACTAGCTATTCCATGTGAGGCAACTAGTCATCCACCCGTATCGGAATCCCATGGTGGATACATTTGTCCGTGGATACTCCACACAAAAAGAAGGACGTACGTATGGATGCTCAATACATACGATTTCAAATTTAGGGGTAAGAATATACCTTGCTCAAAGGTATATTATATTTTTAAGTAGCCACTAATCAGTGGGAATCAAACCCGTGCCATTTGCTCTGATACCACATGTAACGCACCCTATTTCTCTCCCCTTAAGCCAATTAAAAAAGGGGCAATTGCTTGATGAGAGAGCCCTTAGTGATTATTTTATCCCCTAAGGTTCTGAGGATCTACGGTGACAGTATATCTAAATTTCATCCCATGATCACATGCATTACAAGTAGGCCAGCGAGATCTACTATAGAACATATGCATGTGACACATGTCGAAATGCATTCTTCTCTTGCCCCATGCAACTTGGCCGCCTCCCATTGGCCAAGAGCAAACATCAGCATGATTATTTGCTAAGATGTGGTTAAAGAAATAACCCCTTTACAATTACCCCCCATCGGACAGTTGCGATTGGCTGGATCCGGCAGCCCAAAAAGTTCACCACTTTCTCCTTATTATGATAAATACACACACATATATCATACATATATACATATATGTATATATGTATATATATATTATATTGCTTGCTGGACATCATGCCGAACCTCATATACTTGTGGTCCAACTTGCCGCAACACCCAATACGGTCCTTTCCACTAAGTAAGGAGCCCTTTAGATAAACCACATACTGTAAGATAGGGAAAACGGACTAACACTAAGTCATCCATTTTGTACTCTGTAGGTGGACGATGATGGGAGTTGTAACGCCGTTGTTGTCCCACTTGTACATGACCTAAGTGTTCAGCAGACTCTGCTTGGACAAGTGGAAGAATGCTTGTCAAATATTGATCCCACAACCTATCATCGGCAGCTCGTGGCAATCACGAAGATAAACCCAATTCCGTTGGTAATATTGGATCATGACCATATAGGAGTTTATATGGTGAAGCACCAACAGAACTCTACACCCCTGTGACATATGCATACCGAAGAGACGGCAAATAACCATCCCAATCCAAATGCTAAAAGCTCACATACTTCACGATCATCCCTTTGAATGTCCGAACGAACCGTTCCACCAAACCGTCTGATTGTGGATGATAAGCACTCGTGAAAGTATGGCGTATCCCCAATCGAGACATCAAAACATGAAATGCCTCAGCCATAAATGCAGGACCATTATCTGAAAGAATATGCTCCGGACAAGAATGCTAGCACACCACTCGATTGAGGAGGAAGTATCCAACAGTAGTTGCAGAGGCACTAGCAAGAGCACCAACTTCCACCTAACGAGTCAAATAGTCAGAAGCAATAATAACATACTCATTGCCAGCAATCAATCATGGAAAAGGTCCCATAAGATCAAATGCCACCAACTCAAACAGATGAAAAACTGCAATTGACTCCAACCGTCCTTCCACAACACGAGGGGGAGTATTACGAGCTTGGTACCAAACGTAGCTATGCACATACTGGATAACATCACGTCGCATTTCCGGCCAATAGAAAGACCTATGTAGCTTCTCAGTCACACGACAATGTCCCATATGCCTGCCTAGAATAGGAGAATCATGGTAGGCATGGAGAAATTGCGGAATAAAGATAGAAGGCACCACTAGCTATAAATGATCATCAAGATCCATCCCCATAAAATAAAAAAAGCCATCTTCAAAGCGATATTGAGAATGTAAATGCCAGAATGGCAAGTCATCAGCAAGTGATGTAGAATTCTCAAACCCATTTCAAAGGCTTCGTATCCATGGCTCAAGTTTTTTAGCTTCGTGAACCTCATCAAGAGAAGGTAAATCTTGCTCTACACCTTGTGGAGCATAGAATGTCGAGTACAACAACTGCTGATGGCATAGAATCCTCGTCTAGAAAATCCACAAACATTGGAACAACAGGCTCGTCAGAAACAAGAGAAGAGAGTGGAGAAGGAAGAGGAGCTTAAGAAAAGCCATCAGCATTAGCCATAAAACTCCCAGGGCAATGAACAACATCAAAATTATATATCTGAAACTTCAAAGCCCACCGAGCAGTACGACCAACCAAGTTTTTTCACTTTAATAATGAAGTAATGGTAGCATGATCACCTTCAAGTAACATTTGAGAACCATATAGATATGCATGAAGTTTCTCAAAACCCCAAACTGTTGCTAAACACTCCTTCTTTATTGTGGAGTAGTTCACTGCTACTGGTTGTAACGTATGGCTTATATATGCAATGGGATGACGCTGATCAGGCACACTCGGGCTTTCTTGCATCAACACACCTCCAAGACCAATATCAGAAGCATTCACACGCAAAATAAAAGGTTGAGTGTAGTCAGGATATGCCAAAACTAGAGGAGTCGTCAACGGCTCATTGAGATCCACAAATGCCTGCTCACAATTCGGAGACCAAATGAAAGATGACGTTAATAACTTCAGCAACACTTGCAACAGTGTAGTGCGATAAAAAAGATGATCCACAAAATGACTAAGATACTATACCTTGCCTAAG